CCTTGCTTGAATGCGTGTCAGTGACCTCGTCTGATGGAGGTATGGGGTAGACCGGCGCCACGTACGGCTCGGTCGGCAGATCTGCTGCAAACACAATCACACACACGAAGGGATCTCTCTCTCTCTCTCTCTCCGTGTGTGTGCCTCCTTACCCTCTGTCTCGTTTTTCTTGTCTGCATTGGGGTCCTCCTGCACACAGGTGGACGAGCCATACATGTGAACGTGGTATGTGTCTGGGTGGTAGGTGGTAGGCTGGTGTCCTCACCGCTTCCAACAGGAAATCAGGCGACGATAGCTCCATCATCAAATCGATGATCTACATATACACACACAGGCAAACAGAGAGAGGGAGAGAGAGAGAACCGACACTACTGTGTGTGTGTGTGTGGCTTCCTTACCTTGACCCAGTACTTGACCTCTTCGGGCAGCACAATCATGGTCGCATTCAGCTGCACACACCAATATATATATATATATACGCCCAACACCATTCACACACATTCTGATCCACGCATGGCGTCTGGCATCTGTTTGGTTGCCTGGAGGTCGGTGAGTGTGGCGAGAGTGTCGGGGTCGATGTCGCCCTTGGCCGCCTGCTGAGCCAGCACCTTCACATAGCTCTGGAAACCACTGTCCAGCAGAGGCGATGGACTGGCTTTGAAAGGCGGACTGCAGAGCAAAGATGTCAGACACATGATTGGACGTATTCTCTGTGCGGTTTGTGTGTGTGGGTATATTGGTACTTTGCGTCTTTTCTGTAAGCAGGGTTCGTGATTTGCATTTCCCACAAAAGGCCGGCGGACAGCAGCAGGTCGGCCGTGTACTGACCACACACACAGGGACAAAGCAATGCTCTCATGACGCCTTTCTCTCTCTCTGTCTGTGTAAGCGCACGCACCTCTTGTGACACATTGAGCATGCCGACCGCCTCCTTTATGCGTGGATGCACCTGCACACACACACACACACACACACACACAGAGAGAGAGAGAGAGAGAGAGAGAGAGAGGAAGGCGTGTGTGGACTCGTCGATGTGTGCATGACTTGGTTGCCGACCTTGGTGTGGTCCATGATGATGCTGTCCGACACGAACATGATGACTGAGTCCTCAGCCAAGTCAGACGAGGCAACTATGCCTGACAGAACACACACATACACACGCACACACACACACACCTTTGTTCGAATGAATCCATCCATGTGTGTGGCCGTAGGTACCAGTGACTGACAGGCCGCCCTCCTCCACCTGAAGCCATCCATCCATCCATCCACTCACTGATCCATCCCTCCGTGTGCTCTCCACCCTCGTGTGTACCATCTTGCCGTCGGCGTTGAGGATGCCCCCCAGCCGCGCCACAGCTGACTTGACCCTGCACATCACATTCGCAAATGTGCACACACAGGTCTGTCTGTGTGTGAGGGGGTGCGTGTGTACTTCTTGAGGTCGTTTGGCATGAACATGAGGAAGGCCACCACGAAGAACCCCACCAACAAGACAATTATCGTGCCCCACCTGCACACACCACACACCACACACCACACAACACACACGCCAGAACGCATCAGGTCACTCAATGATTGTTGCAATGAGTGCGAATGTGCGTGCGTACATTTCCCAGTCGATTTTCTGTTTGCGTCGTGCAATCTTCTTGAGGATCTCATCCTTCGTCGGAGGCCCACTCCCACTGCTGCACACACACACACACACACACACACAACCGCACACAAACACACAAACACACAGATATCTGTCCATCCATCCATAAGTGCAGATCCGCGTGTCTGTCTGCAGTAGCCGCATCAATGGATTTTGAATGAGTGTGCATCCACACTCATCTCTTAGCGTCTGTAGTGCGTGAGGTGCCCACCTCCCTCTCTTTCTCAGCGTCGCCATCTCTGACGGAAGATCAATCTGAGGAGATCTATCCACTCAGCGAATCACCATCACCATGCACCAATCGTCCCCTCTCTTCGTCCCCTCTCTTCTCCCTCCTTTATTTCTGCAGCGTCTGCGAGCTCAGCTGCGAGCTTGAAAGAATCATCAAAACTTTTTTCCAAGGCGGGAGTGATCTGTCTGCACAGCAGGTGAAAGACCCAGGCACAAACAGTGCACTCAAGGGACGCTTGCTTGTTTCTTTGTGTGTGCTTGTGTGTTTGTCTGTGACTGTCTGTCTGTCTGGCTGCCCTTGGTTGTTGGTGCAGGCTGCAGGCACAATCACAATTCATTATGGCGTCTGTGCAGAACGGAGAAATCTCCAATGGTCGGCTCTATTCATCCTTGTGCACGAAACCACGCTGCACGATTGTGTGGACAGACAGTCACATCTGTGTGTTTGTTGTTTGTTCAGGCGGGCGGCTGTCGAGCTCAAGCACACTGCCAACACAAGGTGCGATTGACTGACTGACTGACTGACTGACTCACGCACGCACACACAGATACGCGCGATTTCATTGCATCTGTCTGTCTGTCTGTCTGTTTGTGTTCTCAGCGAGCACCACCAGCGGCAATGAGAGCAGGCGGGCGTCATGGCGCAACAACAAGGAGGATAGCACATCAGTGGAGGCCATCAAAGGTGTGCATATAGACACCAATATGTGTGTGCCTGATGTGATCACACACGTACGCGCACTTTTTCGCAGAGGCCGACATTGGGCTGTCGGTTCCCACCCACCATCCCCAACACGTCAGGACACACACAGAAACACACATACACTCACATCGACCGGTCGGTCATTTGTGTGTCACACGTGGACACGTCCAGGGCCTTTTGGAGCCGATCATGCACGAGCCGACAAGAGAGGCAATTCCTCCCGATGCTGCTGCTGCGAGGTCGGTCGGCCGTGGTGGGCAGAGGTCTCTGCACATCTGTGTATCTGTGTGTGTGGTGTGTGTAGGCGGCTGTACGTGTGGTCGTTTTGGACGGCCACGAGCAACATGACGGCGACCATATTGGGTGCGGGCACCTTGGCCATCCCTTATGCGCTAAAGTGTGGCGGCATCGTGTGGGGGCTGTGCATCCTCTTCTGCATACTCCTCATATCCTTCTACACCGTCAGGCTGCTCATCAAGGTCACGCACACACCACACACGGGAATGAATGGAGGGAGGGAGGGAGGGATGGAGATGTGTGTGTGTGTGCAGTCGGCCGACCAGGCGTATGTGACGTCTGCGGAGGTCTTTCGCTCGTACGAGCAGCTTGCAATGGTCACTCTGGTACGCTTTATGCCCATACACACACACACACACACACACACGTACACATCAAATGCATTACCGGAATACGTCCATTGTGCAGGGTGAGGCAGGGGTGTATGTGGTCACGATTGCCTTCGTGTGTGGCGGTACGCACCACACACACACACGCACACACACACACGAGGATACACTCACTCACTTGCACACTCACAACACACAGGTTTCGGTTTGCTGATGGCCAACCTGCTGGTGATATCTGAGTCCATCCTCTCCTTTGTCACCGGTCAGCCAATCGACACGCGCACAACAGATGTGCAGATACTGAGGGGTGTGTGTGTGTGTGTGTGGTTGTGTGTGTCGTCGACTGATCAGGCAAGCCGTGTCAGCCGGGTTATCTGCTGGACTGCACTCTGGTGTGCGTGGCCTTCCTGCTGGTGCTTCCTCTCAGCCTGCTCAAAGACATACGAGTACGTTAACAAGACAGAAGCAACACACGCCCGTACCAGTAGATCGTTTCATGTATTCAGATGCTCCGGTGGACGAGCTTCGCTTCTGTGTGCACCACCATGTACATCACCGCTTTCGTCCTGGCCGCGTACGCACACACACACACACAGACAGAGGCACTCACAAACGTATTTCTGTCCACACGTGTGTGTGTGTATGTGTGCAGGGTGTACCATCGGTCGCGTGACGACTCCGTCGCCTTCCCCTCGGCCGACACCGTCATATACGCACCGCCAAACAGGAACCTCTTCTTCTCCATCTCAATACTGGTCACCAACGCCACACACACTTGTCCAGCGATGATCACGTGTGTGTATGGTTGTGTGCAGGTGAGTTCCTTCTCCTGTCACATCAGTGCGCTGCCCGTGTATGAGAAGCTCAAGCCGAAGAACCCACGGGTGATGGAAGGCACGGCCGCGATCGCACTCATGCTTGCTATGGTAAAGCCTGACGCAATTTATCAGTCCATCGATTCATCCGTCTGTGTGCAATGCAGCTGATATACTGTGCGATTGGTTTGGGAGGGTATCTCTGCTTCGGGGCCGACACGCAAGACAACGTCCTCAACAACTGGTACATGCGTACACGATCCACCTGCCAATGCCTATGTGCCTGCTGGTGTGTATCTCCATAGGTACGCAACGGGTCGGTCGACGTGGGCGCTGCGTGTGGCGTCCCTCTGCATCGGGGCAACGCTCACAGGTATGCACACACACGCTATGTGGTTACTAATGAGGTCCTTTCTGTCTGCCTGCTTGTGTGTTGTGGTGGTGGTGGTGGTGGGGGGGGGGGGGG